GTCGTGCCCTTAGTGCTTGGGGAGCCCACTATCACACCCTGGGAAGAACTTCTGCTGGTCGCCTAATCCTGACTCGTGGCTTTGAACTCTACGTAGAAAGACGACTACTGCTGTTGAGTTCCAGAAAATACGCAATTTATCTGCTGCCAATTTGCCTTCTGCTCATCGTTGGCGGAATCATTCTTTATTGTGCAACTGCAAAAAGTAAGAAGAAACAAAAACAGGTGAGTTTTGTAGGCTGAGCTTGTAGGAACTATGCTAAGAACTGATGTTGATTGTTTAGGGCGAGCCCGTGAACTTTTCAGGCGAGCAAGCAAAGAAATCACCCGAACAGCCTACGAAACCGTATTCACCCGAAGGGTCACCGACGAAAGTGAAAGAGTCCAAGCAGAAACCTTCCGCAGAGAATCCTAGCCGAGAAGGCTCGAAAGAGACCATAAAAAATAGAGGTTCAAGAGAAACGCCATTAGGGTCGAAAGAAACAGTTAAAGTGACTGGCTCGAAAGAGGGCGGTCTCCGAGGAGAAGCCGGAGGGATAGACGAAGACGATCTAGCTGCTCCAGATGCACAGGTGCCGCAAGACTAAAGACGAGGTGGCGAGGCGTAAAAAGATTAGAAAAATATTTAATTTATAAATAAAAAAAGATGTACGTGAAAAAGTCAACTAAGTTCGCGTTCAGTAATTATCACTTTTAGAAATAAATCAATGATCATAACAACTTTGTCCGACATAGAAGGCTTACGAAGAAAATTGCTCTCTAAAAAATCAGCCAATTTGCCATCTCGATACCCAGTTCGTCTGAAGCAGGAAGCTACGCCCATCACACTATATTTGCCTTAGAGCAACAGTTTCAGCAGGGTTCTTACCTTCGACACTAATGGTGTTGAACGATGCGCTAGCCCTAGTCAAGAACATAAGAAGTGTGACTGAACAAAAAACTCACCTTGGAAAGCCGCGAAAGGGAGTTGAACGCCTTCGAAGTGGGCGTGTCGGCCACCGATCGTAAGCCCCTCTTGCCAGCCGTGGAGATCGCGTGATTGGCTGTGAAGGCATTTGCGTGGATCGTGGATCGAGTTAAAATAGTCCCTGTGGTCCCAAATCGGTTCGCAAATGCCTTCGCAGCCAAAGACGTGATCTCCACGGCTGGCAAGGGGTTCTACGATCGGTCCACAAGATTATAAGTTCAGGAACATAGGGTGTATACCGTAACCCTGGTGGGGGCGCGTTCATGGTGAGATTGCACACAAAACATATTACCACACGCGAACCGCAAAAATTGAACTAGGCAGCACGATCGATTCTTTGGTGTACGGCGTCCGTTTCTCATTTGTTCCTCTATGTTTCTTGTGACTAGGACTTCGCGGGTTATGAAAGGACTTTTATCATGAGGTTTTTGTGTAGCATTATTAGTTCGTTCGCGTATTGTTGTCGTTTTTTATGTATACTAGCTCCCAATCTCTAGTATCTAATGTAGTGCTCTATGGAAGCTTCTACTGAAAAAAATTTCTCATTTCAGTGCGTAGAATGTACTAACGGATGGTCTGTGACCGAATTCGAGCGTTTAGCCGCCGTGATCGCCCACGACATTGAGGAATATCGGTACGTTTTTCGGCTGTGTATATCGAATCATTCCAGAAAGGGAATTCCTCAGATTCATTCACAAAACTTTGTGTGAAAGCTCTAGACAAGCGTTTTTGTTTTTCGTTCAAGTGACAAATGGGATTGCGCAAAACTGCCGTCTAAGCTAGTAGCAACATCACTTCATGGGAAGCGAATTCCGGAAGTTGTTATATCCGCCTAACGTGTATTGCCCACTGCCGCGTCGTCTTTCACGCTAAGTTGTTGGTGCAAATATGTTTGTCCTCGTTTGTATAATAACAGTATTCTGTAATATGGTCACATTTAGCCGAGGATTTCGCAACCCGTTAAGCTTTTTCATCGAACCTCTTGTCGGGCATGCCTACAGATTGCGCCTTTTATGATGAGGTTTTTAGTGTAACATTATTAGTTCGTTCGCGTATTGTTGTCGTTTTTTATGTATACTAGCTCCCAATCTCTAGTATCTAATGTAGTGCTCTATGGAAGCTTCTACTGAAAAAAATTTTCTCATTTCAGTGCGTAGAACGTACTAACGGATGGTCTGTGACCGAATTGGAGCGGTTAGCCGCCGTGATTGCCCACGACATTGAGGAATATCGGTACGTTTCTCGGCGTGTGTATATCGAATCTTTCCAAAAAGAGAATTTCCCCAGATTCATTCACAAAACTTTGTGTGAAGGCTCGTTTCTTGGCGTTGCTGATTTTCCGAGCAAACTGCTGGGTAGACAGGTAGACACTTCATTTCTGTATTATTCACCTATGTTTCCCTTTTTTGACCCGCTTTTTGTAACAAGACGGCTTCGACTGTCCGATGAGTTATTGTTACCGTAACTTATTGGGCTTACTAGGGCGCGGATTTGTATTAGTGCGGGAGCGAGGTCCTTCAGAATTTCATTTTCCAGAATTGATAAAATCCTCTCAATCACTTCTTGTGGAACATAGAACAATTTATTGATTCGCTAATCCACTACAAGCACTGATTACGTGGGGAGTGACGATCGGGACTACAGATCCCGTTATAACACATACCTAATAGCGCTCTGAGTCAGGTGTAAGTCTGGTTGAAATAATTTTCTTTCGTTCCTGCTAGAATTGATCGCAATTGGCATAAAACTCAAGTTTTTATAAACTTGTCCAGAAATGGCCAAAAGTTTTCGATTGTAGGTTCGGCGAACAGTGGGTGAACAGTATCTTTTGAAATCTTTTTAGTACCCGGAGTTGTTCTTCTATTTCATAATAAGTGATTGAGAGGATAATTCAAAGTTAATCAAGTTTACAAGGACATCGCTCCCGCGCTGCAGTACAAATCCGCGCCCCAGCACGCTCAAATAGGTCGCTCAAATAGGTTACGGTAACAAAAACTCATCGGACTGTCTAAACCGTCTTGTCTTTTTGTACACAAACAATTTCTGTAAGAATTTTCACGTTGGGATTTCTCACAAAAACACTGGGTTGTGACAAATCTTTACCTCAGGTGGAATTTTCGTTCATGACCTAGCTGGAACTTTCGCAAAGCTAACAACCTAAAATAATTGTCACTAATTATAGCTATCACTCACCAACGAGCAGTTATCACTGTAAATATAATGGAAAGCGACTGCACTGATTGTCGCCATAAAAAAGAGAAATACTTATACGCTCAACTTTTCGATGCACATGCTTATACTAAGGAGATGATTGGTCAGCTCGAGCACAATGCTGACAGAATTCCTGAAATCCAATGTGAAATTTACGGATCGTCGCATATTTCAAAAGGCGCTCTACAAAGTCATAAAGCGTCCCAGCATCCCGATTGTTTGGAAAAACATCAGATTGAATGCCCGCTGTGTGATAAGGAAGTAAAGGTAGTGTTTAGTAGATCATCGTTGTGGGAAGAATTTGCTTGGGATAGTACTCTCGCCTGTTTAGAGCCACATACATCTCGCTGAGCATGCCAAAGCTGTCCATTCATCTTATCCTGGACAATATGATTTGAAAACTCTTTTCTTCAATAGCAGTAAAGAGTTTGAGGTATGTGAGCACAAGCGAGGCTCGCGAACAAGTCTCTCTGTATTACTCATTTTTTAGAGCTGGCGGAGGGAAACCGAAGACAAAAATGTTTTGAGGTGGGCAACAAACTCCGCTGCCAAACGAGGACAGGGAAGCATAACATACTATCGATGTAGCAGGGCCCTACCCACACCTCAATATGGTGTAAATACTCGACCAAGATCAAAAAAGAAAACGAAATATTGTACGGCTTTCATGCAGGTGCGCTTGCAGTGTATACTATATTCGGGCAGTAAGACAGCAACTTCAGGTAGCTGAACGCAATGGAACCGTCCGAGTGCAGTATTGTAGTGATCACGCAGGTCACGAGAAAGAGCCGGGACTTTTGACTTTGGACAATGAATCCGAGAGTTTCATTGTGTCATTGCTTAGGGAAGGCTTTGGAGCTAACCAAATATTGAAAAAAATTCGGAGTGCCTATCGGGAAGACGAGCAACATAGGATTTATTATACGACATCGCGTGACATCAGGTACGGCATTAAAGAATAGTCCGGCTTTGAGGATCTTCCGCATGTCCTTCTTCCTAGGAACATCGCAATACGAAATAAACTGCAGCCCGGCAGAAGACACGAAGTTGATCTAATGTCTTTGGAAATTAGAGTTAAGGATGGAGCCGATGAGGATGGTATCAGATTGTATATTCCTGCTTTTGATGAAAGCGGAGAAGGATTTTTGCTTGGTGATTACAATTTGACACCTAATGCTGGCAATTGTGGGTTGACAGTCTTATATACAGTGGTTTTCAGTGGTGATAACGCCCATTCAAAAAGAATGGCTCTTAAAATACGCTTCAAGAGCAATTTGCGTTGACGACACGTTTAATTTAACGTGTTATTCTTTACGACTCGCTACAATTGTGGTTGTGGATGAATATGATAAAGGCTTGCCGGCGGCATATCTCTTGTCAAACAGGTTGGGAGCATATCTCCCATTAAAAACTCAGTTCCTAAATCTTATATGAGACGTTTCAGAATGACAGAGGCAGAAACGGAAATGCTTTTTGAAGAAGTCAGGAAAAGTCATGCCAATGTTTAATCCTTCGTATTTTATGAGTGACGATACGAACTCGTTTTATAACGGCTTTCGTCGGATATTCCCCAATTCTAAGGCCAAAAAGCTTCTATGCATATATCATGTTTTGAGGGCTGTCGAAAGAAATTGTAAAGCCAAGTTAGTTGATGTGAGTTTTGGGTTATAGCTAGTTTAAAAAAAATGTATGTACTGGGAGCTAGTTTTTTTTTCAGAAGACGCATGCTAACTATACTGTTGACAGAGTTCGTGAATTAAGTCGTACTTCTGACGAGGGAATATTCGTGGTTAAGTATACCAACCTGCTCACCCAACTCAAGGAGCCTGGAGAGAAAGATTCAGTGGAATGATTCGAGAGGACATGGTAAGACGTTTGCAAGACCTTTTCCACGACAGAGAAATCTTTGTTCAGGAGTGGACGTGTACAACAATGGGGTGCATTTCGCACGCCACTATTCTTGCGTGAATACGTCCATGCTCATAGAGCGATTCCACCGACGTCTCAAGCATGAAGTGTTTGCCTCTAAAGCTAATGTTAGAGTTGATATTTTGCTAGACGCCTTAATATCATTGCCTCCCGAGATGGAAGAGGATCGAAAAATAAAGGTAGAACTTTAAGATTCGTGAAACTCTCAGTTTACTGCATGCGCCTTATTTAAGATGGCCAGGGGACTCTGCGAGGGAAGATACAGGTTACAGCAACACCATCGGGCCCATGCTGCAGCAATGAAAGTGTTTGGAAAAAATCGAGCGAATGTCGTAGTGCGAGGAGAAGGTCGCTGGGTAGTTTCCGACGGTCGAGGAATACATCATGTTCATCAAAGAGTATGCATTTGCGATTCGCAGGTAGGTCATCGAAGAATTTCGAAACAGACTGGGATACAATAGCATTTCAGCATAATAATCATTGTCAAAAAAATAACTGCGGGGCTTGCCCTTATGGATTCCTATGTGACTGTCAAAGCGATACCAAGTCTGGCATTTCATGTGTCCATGTGCACGCAGCTGCCATTTATGGGCCAGAAGGTCAATTCTTATAGATATTCTGAGATTTTCAATGGTTACTGGCTTCCTTTTCAGGTAAAATCGCAGTTAACGAGGGATACTTCGTTCACGTGAATTCAGACGAAGAGTTGGATGAGAACTCCAACGTTGTGGAGAGAGGTTGGGAGGGGTTGGGAGCGGGGGAACCCGAGGTGGTGGAGGAAAGGTGGAGGGAGGGAGGGACAGAAGAGCCTGAAGTGGTGGAGGAGAGGTGGAGGGTGGGAGGGACAGAAGAAGCTGACACAATACAAGATATGATCCAGCAACTGGATGTGGTTAGTTGCAAGTGTTAGAAAAGAGACTCCATCCTCTCACTCTGTTTTTCTTGAGGTTATGGCAGCAATGCGGTCGCACATCCTCTGCCTGAGAAAGGTTCCTGATCAAGAAGTTAACGATTTATTAGCAAGAACGCTGACTATTTGCAAAGAGCAGGAAAGGACACTCATGTCCATGTGTGAAAGGAAGGTCCCCTCCTCGCGACAATCTCTTCACAAACGGATAGAACTCTCATCTACTCGGCTACCTAATCCCTCTCCAATTCGGATTGCACACCGTTCTGCTATACGGCGGAGAGGATCGTCGAAGTAACAGGTTAATCATCAACAAGCCACTTCCACTACGGTCATTGTTGAATTGTTGTATTTACTTTTCA